CTTCATAGTACAGGCCGCTGGTATCTAAGGTGTATTGTTTTTGTATTAGCTGCATGCTATACCTTTCAGAATGAACTGCTTCATGTCATGGCAAAAACAGAAATGATTGACTCTTTGCTCATTGTGATTCTCCAAAACCTCTTTCCAGTGGCAGAAAAAATACTCATGTTGCCAAATTGTTGTGTCCTTGTGGATAATAAGAGAATGGATGTGAAGCCTGTTTCTGTGACCTTGGAGCCATCTGTGAAGTTTCAGGTTGGGGAAACAGCTTATGTTTTTACTAAAGCGCTGCGTTTACATTCCTCAGCTTGTCTGCTTGTAGCTGTTGTCTGAAGAAACTCCAGTATTTTCATAGTTTTTAGTGTGTTATACTACAATTCACACTTCAAACAATTCAGGATCTTTTTTCTAGTGCCTCAAAGTATTTGAATTGCCACCCTCTCGCTATTTGTCCACCCTCAGTCACCTAAATCTCATTACTAATTGTAATATTTGTATTTTTGCATGAATTGGTCATTAACATTTCTAAGCCTCTTTAACTTCAGATTCACTTCAGCATCTCAAAGAGGAAGATCAAGTTCTCTGATGTGCCTCCTGTCCTGGATGAGAATCGCATGAGAGACCGGCTGGAGCTAAGCTTCTCTAAGCCCAGCCTAGGAGGAGGGGAGGTGGAAGAGCTGGCCTATGACAAGACGAGAAGCGCCGGCCATGTCACCTTCCTCAATACTGGAGGTTCAGCTTGTATAGTCACAATAGAGCTTTTCTATGTATAGATATACATATTCCCATTCTTAGTGACAGATTAAACTATCTGCAGATTTGTTTTAGCGTGGTTCTTGATAATTGTGAGATTAAGTGGATTTTTATTACATTGGTGAACATTTAGAAAATAATGGTTATTGAATTGAAGTGTCCTCCTTCTATAATTTCAGTTGCTGAAAGTCTGTGTCTGAAGAAGAAATACACCATAAATGTGGGTGAAAAAATTGATGCATGTATCCAGCCATATTTTGATTACGAGTTGAAACAGTTCCAGGTAAGAGCCAGCAGAGAATGTTACTGTATATATCTCTTTGGTCTAATTTGACATGCAAATTGCATAAGAGGGTTGAGACTAATTTGAATGTGAAAGATGTCAATGCTCATCACTGGTTGTAGACATTCTGTGGAGTGCCCAAGCGAACGGTGCTCTTGGAAGACATCAAGGATTTTCTGGATGAGGAAGACATGCAGGATCATCTGGAGATCTACTTCCAGAAGCCCAGCAACTTTGGGGGCGAGGTGGATGCTATCAAGTACACCTCCAAAGGAGGAGTTAAGGCCTACTTCAGCGACGACATGCATAAACCTGAGGCGTGATCTGCAGGAGACACCTTAGTTCTGCTCTAGTATTCTGAAGAGAACATTCTGTCTCCTACCTTCACTGGGGAAGCTGCTTTTCAGTTTGTCAATCATGCTATCAGATCTTAAGGATAAGGTGGTGGTATTTTAAGTTGCACTCAAAAATATAATCATATTGTTGTCCTCCAGAGAATGCAGCTGAATTACATTATTATGTGTGAGTTCTATGATCACAACACTTTGATAAATACCAAGTTTATATGTTATCAGCCTAAAGAAACAATTCCATATTACTCTTTTCTCTAATATATTACAACAACAATATCCTTGAGCATATGTTATGTTGAAAGTGTGTGCAATTTATAGGTTTGCAATGCTGGTAAGTATACAGTGCTGACTGAGGTGCCTAGGGCAATGTGATCACACTGGGAAAATATGGAAAAACTGCCCTAGATGAGGGGGCAAATACAAGCTTAATATCTGTAACTTTGATAAATTAGCTGTATCAAAAATGCTTTCTTGGGTCTTTGGGTATCAGTTCATGTTTGGACTGGCAAACCTTGTAACTGAAGCCTTATGAAATTATGTTAGTTATTTAGTGACTGAAAAAATGATTGTATAAGATATCATTTATGTATATTGTTGCAATTCAATCTTTTGTTTATCAAAATCAATAGAACTATAAAAGCATCCTTTGCTACTGTGTCGTGTCAATGATACAATTGGCCTGCTCCTGGTTTTGTTCTGTAATGGAATCAACAAAAACAAATACCCTAGTTACGTCAAAGTTTCCAAGCAGTGCCTTGGGTATTAAAATAAAAACGAAAGTGAAATTATGAGTGTCTAGATATTATTGGTTGTGTTATTATTTCAAACTCGCTTTTTGTAGATATTTTTTGATGACTTTCAAGTTTTATTTCAAATCGGTATAATTAAGCTTGTCCAAACTTTTGATGAGTTGCGTTTATCTCGGCACGCTCGTCGGCCGATAGTGGAAATCACATTGTATGATGGGACTCGTAGTTCTATTGAGGCGTCTTTGAAGCTTGTAATAGCAGACGAGACCAAATAAAACTACAGTTCCCATAAAATATCACGCTTAGAGCTGCGTTCCTAGTTCCGTATCACCACCACCGCGGCGGCTACATCTTGGTCAGGTAGTTAAGTTTAAAAAAAAATCAAAAGAAATAGGAGATGGAAAAGAAAATTGAATAATGAAGTAATTTAGACTTGTTAAAATTGCTTGTAGCGAAATTAAACCTGTATACGTCTAGGTATAATTGTATTCTAAACGTAATCGGACCATAAATTACCGAGCGGGAATAAGTAAAATATTATTAGTTTTATGCTATTACGTTTACGTATGCAAATTAATAAAATAATATTTTTTCTTATATTTGTAGTATGGAACCTTGTGGACAGGTTGTTTTTAATGGTTTCCCAAAGCGTATTTCGACGCAAGCTGGTGTTCGTGTTCATTTCAGGAGATGGACTCGTCAAAAGCGCGCCGCACCCTGGTCGTCTCCGGCGTCCCGGACGCGCTGCCCCCCAGTAGGATGGCAGACAAGCTGGTCATTCACTTCCAGCGCTCCAAGAATCTCGGGGGTGACGTGCAGCATGTCCAGTATCCCACCAATCTTAAGGGTGTCGCGTTTGTTACATTTGACGGAATTCAAGGTATTTTAAACACGGGAAAGATAACCGAGTTTGATCCTGCCACTGTGGTACTGTTTTCTTTTCCAAGTGCTAAGGTCTCTAGCCTGCTGCCAGAAATGCTGTGTTCCCATCGATTTAAACTGTACAATTATACAGATTTTTAGGGCTTCTGTCTGTCCCCCCCTTTACTGCAACCCTGCCTGTTCATATGAAAGATGCTGAGAGGGTATTGAAGGTGGATCATGTATTGGAAGACAAGGAGTTTCCTGATGCATATCCAGTCACTGTGTTCAGGTTCAGTGAGGATGTAAGTACCTTGCGTGTACACGCTCATAACAAACAACATATCTCTATGGGAAACCAGTTAATTAGAAGCTCTGACTGTTTTTCCCTAATTCCATAGGTTTTCTTGTTTTTCCGTGCTGAAGTTGACCTTTCCATGTTTGGTGACCTAAATGGACTAATCCAGGAGCTAAAGGACAGTCACAGATCGGTGAGATTCTCCTTACTGATGTCTAAGAGAGCAGCCGTAGTTGAAGGACCCTTCAAGGCGATGAAGAAGCTGAGGGAAGACCTCATAACACGAATGCAGAGCACGGGGTACAGGAGCAGAGAGTCAGGTGCAGGGAGATGCGTGGTTTCAGTGGTGGGTGGACTTCAGGAGGATTCGACTTGGGTGGACACAAACGTCTTCAAGTATATCTGGAAATTTCAGCATCGAAAACTGGATCGGTGTTTTCAGAAGTATGCGGTGGAGATTGAGACACAAAAACAAGGTGACCTCACCCAGATTATATTAAGTGGGACCGAGCACTCATTGATAATGAGCGCCAGGTCAGAATTGGAGCAGCTGGTGGCCACCTGGATGTCCGACTTAAGAACACAGAAGATAGACTATGGCAGCTTGGACAGGCACCAGAGGGAAAGGCTGTTGGGCTTTTGCAAGGACGCCAGTCTGCAGCACCCTGATGTTCTGTTTGTGTCCATGGAGACGTGCATCGAGGTCGTCGGCCCCTCTGCATCCAGCTACAATTTCTGTAAGGAGGTGGAGGGCATGATGTGCGACACCAATAAGCAGCCCTCCAAGAACGCATATCTCTCATAATGGGTTCTGGTAACTTGCAGCAAGAAGCTGGAAAGCAGACTCAGAATTTTGGGAAATAAGGTTTTGTGCCTGAAATGTGTATTCCTGATTTTGTAGTGGTGGTATGTGAATTTTCACTGAAAAATCAGAATATTTATTTTTAAACACTAGATTAGTTGTTCAAGAAAACAGTCTGCATGTTTATAGCTATAGTTTAGACATGGAACTATTTATTGATGTCTATAAAAGTAGCACATGAAATTATATTGAAATTTTTGTTTCTAGTAAACTGTGATATGTTGCAATGGTGGAAGGGCCTATTCTTTTATCGTCAATCTTTTTTCATAATAAATTAATATTAATATCTCTGACTGAATGTCATCACTTGGAAACTAGCTAGTGTTAAGGTATTTGGAGATTTTTTGCTCATGTTATTTAATTCTGATACTTGGGAATTAACACTGGAGGGCGCCATAACAAAGGAAACAGGAGTGCTTAGGCAGCGTCAGCTTAAGCATTAGTAACTGGTGGAGATACAAAGTGAAAGTGTGTTAAGATAAACATCATCTGAGCAGTTTTTACCATCATAAAACTTTACAATTTGAGCATTTAAAAAGAAGTAATGGATGAATTAAGTTTATGATACAGAACTTAAGTATGCAGACTAAGTTTAGGGTAAGTTAAATTGCCTTTGTGTTCAGTGTTAATGACAACCGTAAAAGACCTATATAAAGTAACTTTAATTAAACAACATAGATTGTCTTATGTTTTGTGCAATAGTGGGTAAACATCTAAAAAATGATTTACAAACTTTGGTCCAGATTATTTCCTATCCGTTTGCACAGTAGGGTTGGGCCAGTAGAATCCCTATATAAACGAGCTGGTGATTATTAGGGAGGAAGTCCGAAATCAATCAGCGCTGAACAAACTTCTCCTTCTCACTGTCTGCTACATGGGAGCTTTTGGGCTGTGGCTCCACTCCCCCCCCAGATGAGCTGCTGAGGTTGAGGTGAGTGCTGTTTCTAGCACCCCAGTCTCTGTGCTAGACCGAACTTGATCCACAGGTCATATATCATCACAGCACACACATCCCTCTCAAGTAATCACCCCCCCACAGCGATGTCAAACTGTGTGAAGTGTTTGCCTGTTGAGCTGACCGTGGACCACCAAATCAGTTACTTTATCATAGATCTAATTCATCACATTTTCCAAGAAGACCTAGCCATACATCTGCAGCTGTCTGCGTGGTGGGTCACATGGTCATTTATTCGTTCTGCTTCTCTAAATGCTCATGAATCCTCCTTGCTTCACATTATCAGCTAACCCCCTGCCTTTCGTGTCTGAATCACTCTCTTGTGCAGCCATGTTAGTGCTGTGATTGGTTTAGAAGAGAGCACATGACCTTCAAGATGGAAACTGCTGTGTTTCTAACACTGAAATGAGTCCATTAAAGTGTGGAGTGTTTTTGTCGAGTGTACATGCATGATGCTAATGATACTAACAGACTGAAGGTTAAGGTTTCTGCCATGGTGAGTCAGCAGGACGATTTTCCCTGCGTGACGAAAGGAGCTGGCCTTTCTTGACAGGACACCTTGGCTTCAGCATGCTTCGGGGTGTGGGTATGGCAATCTGTGCTGTTGAGGTCATCCTTCAGAGGTACCAGACCCAGCCCTTGGCTTGTGTGGTCAAGTGAAGGTTTTTCCCCCAGTAGGAGGTGGCTCTGTGAAGGGCAGCTAATGGCCTCAGGGGCTCAGAGACTGGGTTTGTGACCAGTAAGTTGCAAGATCAAGTCCCCCATTGTGTTGCCTTTAAGATAAACTCATGGTCTTTTCATTAAACTTCCAGTGAAATACATCGGTGATAATGTACAAGCATCTGAGCATTAGCTTAATTGCTGCTATTATTTATAAAGTTTCTGCATTGTACAAGTTTGTGTGTGTGTGTGTGTGTGTGTGTGTGTGTGTTTGTGATAAAAACCTGTAACTTTTTATCTTGTGGGGACATTTTTTTGGTCCCCCAAGGATAACCTTAATTTCAT